TTGGTAAGAACTGAAATTGAAACTTAATTCTTTCTCAATTCTGGAACATATGAGACCCTATTCAAAGTCACCACCTTGCATGATGTCATCTTTAATAGGACTTTGTCAGTTCCTTCCACCTTTGCAATAACGGAGTTTTCCATAAACAACTTCTCATCTGTAGGTGTTGGAGTATATGATGAAAATAATTCTTTGTTGGAACAAACATGACATGAGGCACCAGAATCTATTCACCATTCTCTTGGATTTCCAACCAAGTTACATTCTGAAAGCATTGCACAGAGATCTTCCATTTCTCCTTTGGATTTAGCCAAGTTTGCTTGATCCTTTTTTTTTCTTGTCCTTCTTAGGACCCCGACATTCAGTAGCCCTATGACCATGTTTACCACAATTGAAGCAGTTTCCATTGAATTTCTTCTTAGGAGGATTGCTTTTTGGACCAGATGCTTTCTTTCTTTTCTTTTATTTTGTGGGATCTTCTTCAACAAAATTTACTCCAGATATTGCTGAATTACCACGTGACCTCTTTTCTGCAGCCTTATTATCCTCTTCGATTCTCAACCTTACTATGAGATCTTCAATAGTCATCTCCTTGCGTTTATGTTTTAAGTAGTTTTTGAAATCCTTCCACAACGAAGGTAACTTTTCAATAATTGCAGCAACTTGAAATGCATCATTCACAATCAATCCTACATTAAAGATTATGTGTATAAGAAAAAACTTAATATTTCTAACATAGGCATTAAATTAATTTATACCTTCAGCAAGAAGATCATGGATTATGACCTATAGTTCTTGAACTTGGGTGATGACTGTCTTACTGTCTATCATCTTATAGTCCAGAAATTTTGCCACAATGAATTTCTTCATTTTGACATCTTCTGTTTTGTAATTCTTTTCTAAAGCATCCCGGAGTTCTTTTGAGGTTTTGACATTGCTGTACACATTGTACAGATCATCTTGCATGCCACTCAGAATATAATTTTTACCCAAAAAATCTGAGTGTGTCCATGCTTCTGTTACCAAGAATCGTTCATCAGGCGGAGTTTCATCTGACATAACAGGATCATTCTTATTAATGAACTTCTGCAGACTCAACGTAGTGAGATAGAAGAACATCTTCTGCTGCCATCTCTTAAAGTCAACTCCAGAAAACTTTGTAGGTTTCTCATACGGTGCTAAGGAAGCATTTGAACGATTATGTGCAACCGATGTTGTTGCAACACTTACTATTGCAGCACTTACTGTTCCAGCATTTGCTTGACTTAAATTAGTCATTTTTCTTTTTTCTGTCACAAATGACAGATAATTTAAGTATTTGAAATACTAATAGTAAAGAACAAATCTTTACACAAACTGTTTCTGATTTAACGTTAAAGTTTTTATATTTTTTTAATCGTTAACTGAATGAATTTTAAAAATTCAAGCAGAGTAGAAAACCATAAAGGTTTTGATCTCCAAAAACCTCAAATACAGAAACTTATTAAATTTCTTAAGATTGTTATTCAACCTGTATTATAAGGTTAGCCTAAAAAAGACAGAAACAGAATAAGATGAAACAAAAAGTAAATAGAAAACAAGACGTAATCCGAGTCCACAGAAACTACTGTGTGTCCTTAAGAAATTTAATCCCCTCACTGTATCCGAGGTTATGGATTAATTTCTTTCAAGATAAAACGGATTAATCCTGTTGAAGAAATAGCGGTACCTCAAATTTCTTTAACTTCAACGAACTTCAAAACAAGAACAAGTTACACAGACTCAGTCGATCGACACTTTGATTTGTTTGAGAGAAAAAATTTATGCAGAGCAGGAAAAAATTTTTTGTTTGAAAAAAACAAAAATTCACTTCCTTTTATAGTCATTTTCAGCAAGAAACATGTCTGTTCAGAGAAATCTGTTCAGACCCCTTTTATCCAGAAAGTTGTGTATTTTGGAAAAAATAACAAATTTTCAGAAAAATGTGTCTGTTAGGAAAATAACGTCTTTTCGGAAAGTAACGACTTTTCAAAAAGAGTAACAATTTTTTGAAATGTTACAGTTACCCGCAAATTTATAAGAGAATTTATTTGATTTAACAAAAACTGATTAGATAAATTTTGTCCAAAAAATTTATCAATCAAATCATTTACCAAATCCGAAGCCGAAGCCGAGCGACGACGGCGGCGGCGCGAGGGGGCATCTTCTTATTAGCTCTTTAAGAAGTAATGGAAGTGTTTCCCTATATAAGGACAACAATATCCCTTTCTTTTGTCGATATGGGAGAAATGACTTTTCATTTGCACTTTGCAAATGTCTTTTCATTTTTCCCTTCAAAATAGTTCCCTCACTTTTCATATTCTCTCTTTTCTTTTCCCATTCATACTTTCTAAACTCAACAACTTTTATGTCAGCTAATTTTGTAGTTCACTATCACTACCAAAAATGGAAAACTATTGATGGACAAATATATTATTTAGCTAAATAGCAAAACTCATCGCTAATTCTATCTAATATGAATTATTAAAAAAAGTTACTTACTTGCAATTTAGCGATCACGAGTCATCTAGAATTTTGTAGTGTATTCATTTGCATTGAAATCTCTTATCGACTCTAGAGTGTGATATTTCAATATGCAACATAATATCTAATTTAAAATATTTTTTTGTAAAAATTTACAGTTGTCACGTCATTAAATGAATACCAAATATAATATTTTGGGTAATCATGACTATGAAAGCTAACTTGGCTAAGTTAAGTGACTTTTAAAAGACAAACAAAGTTGAACGAGAATATATATGTAGGGATGTTTATTAAACATACAATTACCTAAAAAAACATAATGTTGATTAATTAGGTAATTATACATGTTAGATTAATTAGGAGGTTATTGTTGAGAAGATGAACTAACGTAGTATTTTTTCATACCAAACCACAACCAAAAACGAATTCTCCTATTTTTACTTTCACTATATAAACTTGTTTGAGGTGAAGTATAATTAATGCATAATCAACAAAAACATAAATTATAAGTCTTGAAGAATTTATCACCTGGCTTTATACAATGGCTTATAAGTATATTCCATCTTTTTTCTAGTTATTATTCGTCACATTGTTTTTAACAAGTAGTTATGTGATTCAAGTTGAAGCGCGCAATCTTCTTGAAGTAACTATCCCTGAGCTTCCTAAGCCAGAATTGCCACATTTACCTGAAATCCCAACTTTGCCTAAACTTGAGTTCCCTTAAATTTCGAAACCTGAGTTGCCTACATTACCAAAGCCCGAATTTCCAGAAATTCCAAAGCCGGAGTTTCCACCATTTTCAAAGGTTGAACTTCCAACTTTACCAAAACTCGAGATTCCTGTCATTCCTAAGCTTGAATTGCCAACTTTGTCAAAGCCGGAAATGCCTCAAGTGCCTAAAAAGCCTTGAGCACAAGGCTTGTTAAAAATGTATTGTATATTGTGTGATCATATATGTATTTGAAGCTTTCCTTTTGGAAAGATTATTTATGTGATATTTATGTATAAGAATTGTTTATGTAATTGTTCTTTTTTCAGTTCACTAATGTACTTGTCTTACTAGTGACATTATACACATCTTAATTTGTACTCTAAGACTCGATTTCAATTTGTTTATCTGGTTTTGATTTGATATGGTATATAAAATTCTTTTTATATGTCTCTAAATCCTTTAACAATATTGAATTTAATGATATTTGACTAATGCCGGTAAAATCTTTAACACTCTTTATTAATATGTATATGTTTATTGCTACTAAAAGTTGTTCTTGTTATAATAATTGTGATCTTAACTAAAGATATGAAAAAAATAGCAAAATATATTTTAATCTTGTAATCTTAATTAAAGATGCGAAGAATCTTTACGGATATGTTTTGAGTTCATATATTTGCTTAAACAAACCAGAATTTTCAACACAAATGTTAAAACACTAATATGAGTATTGATAGTTAAATTATAATAACAACACCTAAATTCTTGTATTACAAGGAAAAGTAACTAAAGATAGAGATAAGATTGGAGCTGAGAAGTTTCAACTCTAGAAAAAAGATGAGAGGAACATATAGTTTCTTCACTATACACATAACTCTTATGTTAACAACTACCTAGTCATATTTAATCAATTGATAATATTGGGCTTGAATTCCAAATAAAATTCTCTAATATTTATTCAACCCAATATTTCAATCTAAATCAGTTTAATTCACAACTTATAACACATAAGCCTTTACTAAATCGATTTGATTCACAACGGATACTTTTACTACATGGTGGGTGGCTGTAGTGGACAGAAACTATAGACTATAAATGATCTTTTTGCATAGTACATGTTCTGATTGTGTTATGGGTGTTCGATAATGGTGATGATTTCAAGGTCGGATTATTATAACTTAAATTTTGAAGAAAAGTATATATGTTCTCTGTAGATTACCTACACGGGAGACCTTGTGTGTTGACTTATAGGAATATATCTACATAAATTATGTGTTACACAAGAAAAGGTTTTGTCATATTAAATTTATGAAGCTATTGTTGAGAAGATGAACTAACTCAATTTTCCCTACCAATCACAACCAAAGCTTGATTCTCCAATTTTTAATTTCCACAACCACACATCTATATAAAAACTTGTCTGAAGTGAAACATAGAGTATATTAGCATAGTCAACCAAAACATAAATTACTAGTCTTGAAGCATTTATCACCTTTCGATATAATGGGTAATAATCACTACAACTCATCTTTTTACTTGTTATTTTAAGAGATAATTTACAAGATTTATTTGATTTAAGAAAAAATGATTAAATAAATTTTGTTCAAAAAATTTATCAATCAGTCAAATCATTTGCCGAAGCCGAGCGAGCGCCGACGCCGGTGCGAGGGGCATCTTCTTCTTAGCTCTTTAAGAAGTAATGGAAGTGTTTCCTTATATAAGGACAACAATTTCCCTTTCTTTTGGTGATATGAGAGAAATGACTTTTCATTTTTACTCCAAAATAGTTCCCTCACTTTTCATATTCTCTCTTTTCTTTTCTCATTCACACTTGCTAAACCCAACAGTTGGCAACTCTGACCCTTAACTTTTGATGTGCACAATTAAACAATTAAACTTGTATAAAATTGAACAAATTGACATATTCGTCCTACATAGCACCCTACATGAAAATTTTGTGTCCTACATAGCATACTGCACGTATGATGCCATGTTTTAAAAAGAACATTTTAGGGAGTACAAAGATAGAAAAGGTAAAATTGTAAAGCGATTCGTCAAATAAAAAGTTCTTATAATATCATAAATAAAAATAAACAACTTATGGTTGATATCGGATTATAAGCACTTGAGTTATAAGTGTTTGCCAATTATATATTTAAGCTTTTAAAATAGGCTTATGAACTAGTTTGAACCACTTAGAAATTTAACCTACTTAATATAAAAGTAGCATATTGGGTACTAGATATAACCAAAGACTCTCATTCTGTAATAATTGTGTGTAGTTAATTACATGCACACACCTAATTATGTATATGGAAAAAAATGAAATTTATAATCTAAAACCTTGACATATTGACATTGCCTAACTATAAAAGGGCAGAACTATTAATGTAATGCTGAAGCACATATTAGTTATTATAACTTAGTCATATATCATAGAAAAAATGAGTCTTGAAGGTAAATTGGTTTCTGAGATAAATATCAAATGTGATGGAGATGTGTTCCATGAAATAATTATGTACAAACCACATTATATGTGCAACATATGCCTTGATAAGATACAAAATGTGGATATTCATGAAGGTGATTTGGGTACTATTGGCTCTGTTAGGTTTTGAAAATTCACACATGGTACGTAAATCCATATTATATTAATTCATATCGATTTTAATTTGTCCACATTCAATTTAACTCACTCAATCATTAATAAACGAAATTAGTAGTATGGATTTTTTTTACTATATTTTTTTTGTGTAGATGGGAAAGAGATGGTGGCAAAGGAAGTTATTGAAGAAATAGATGAAGAAAAGAAGTTGGTTAAAAAAAAGATGATTGAAGGAGATATGTTAGAGTATTATGAATCATTTTACCTCACTATTCATGTTGAGACAAAGGAAGAAAACAACTTAGTTAGATTTTGGAATATTAAAAGAAGAATGTGCATGTGCCTGATCCACAGACTTTCATGGAATTATGTATCAATATCACTAAAGATATTGAGAGTTACCACATCAAGTGATACATAAATACATATATGTATGTACTTGAAGTAATATTATGTGGTGTGGTTAAAGAATTTGCTTTGAAATGTCTAATATATATGTAGAAAAAATAAAGGGAGTGGATATTGATAAATAAACATATATAAAAGCTCCTTCTAATACATATATGGTTGATTTCGGATTATAAGCACTTTTCGTATTTGTCAACTATATGATAAGCTTAAAAAAATGCTTATGAACTAGCTTGAACCACTTAGAAACTTTACCTACTACCTTTTCTTAATATAAAAATCGCTTATTGGATAATAATTGTGTGTAAGTACAATGCACACACCTAATTATGTATAGGCAAAGAAAATATGAAATTTATAGTCTAGAGTCTAGACATATTGACATTTTTACTTAACTATAAGAGAGTAGAGATACACACTTATAATTAATTAAGAAGAAATTGTTTGAAATATATTCAAATTTTGATAAAATTGTTGTAACATAGTAAACTTTGGAAATGATCTTTTTTCCTTCTGCACTATTTAATAATGTATTTAAAAGGTATATATGTGTCCACATAGATATAATAAATATTACATAATTATAAATAGTAATATGTCCATGTACGTACATATATACATTTAAAATACACTATTAAATAATGTATTGGTAAAAAATCCTCTATTAAGTTTGATATTGTAACAATAATTTTGTCCAAAATTGAAATATTTTTCAGACCTTTTTCCGATTAATTAATGAATGAGTTTATATAGTCAGAGCATTAGATAATAGCTCACACAATAGGCAATCTAGCATTAGTAGTGATAGGGATATGTAGTATTAGCACCGGCATGGACAAGGTCTCCTCTCCAATTCTATTACAAAACATGTCTATAATTGATCTCTAATATAAAATTTTTCCCAAGAGATTGTATAGTGTTTGGTTGGATATATGAGAAAAAAATAATTCATGCATTACTAATATTATTTAATAACATTCACAACATATATAAGCTAATATAATTATTACTAATAATATTGTGATATAAGCTAATATAATCTCAACATATATAAGCAAATATAATCATTGCATAGTTATTCTTATGAGATAATCGCCCCCTAATAATATTGTGATTCAATTTGGATAAATTGGTCTATTTTAATTGAAAGAAAATACTTATTAGATGTGAGTTTCGAACTCGGGTCACTCAAGTCAAACATAACACTATTTATCACCAAGCTACTGATCATTTATAGTAAACTTACTCATGTTTATTTACTACAAGCATAACACTATTTTATGACTTAAGCTCTTTAACAACGCGAGACATAATTTATGAGGTATTATGATCATCATACAATTAAAGATGACCAAACTTATGACTTTGACTTAAAAACACTTTTGGTATTTAATAAATGTATGACAATCTTAAAAAATTCTCATGAACAAAATAATTATGTGTATATACATAGACACGCCTAATTATGTATAGGCAGAAAAAGTAAAAAAATGTATTATAATCTAGAGGTTAAAACTATTGGCATTGCGTAACTATAAAAGGAATAGTATCTCATGTAATGATTGAACCACACACTTTTTTATTATAACTTTGTGATATATCATATCATAGAAGAAAAATGAGCCTCCATGGAAAGTTAGTTTCTGAGATAGAAATTAAGTGTGATGGAGATATTTTTTATGAAGTATATAGGCACAGGCCCACCATATCTCCACCATGTCCCCTAATAACATACAAAATGTGGATGTTCATGAAGGTGAATGGGGCACAGTTGACTCAGTTATCTTTTGGAACTTCATCCATGGTAAACCTTTATTTTATTTGATTTCAATATTTATCACAAAATGTTTGGTTCATACATTCTTCAATATATATATAATATCAATATTGTGTCAGAAATATCGTGGATTAATTAGCACATAATTACAAATAAAAAAAATAGAGAAGAAAAATAACACAAGGATTTAACAAGATTCATCTAGGTCTAATCATTCAAGAAAAAACAGAGAGTCTTCCACAAGGAAAATGTTCTTTCCATTATTCCTATAAGGAAAAAATAGATTCCTTTTCCCAAATCTATTAGGACAACAAATCTCTAAAATTAATAGAGATTATGAGTTTCGTAAAATATATAAGAGAAAAAATTCAAGGCGTGATTAACAAATACTTCCTCTATCTAACAATAGTTGTGGAGTATACGAAAAATAGATGTCTAACAAAACTTGTCCAATTTAGAAAATTAAGAGATTATTTACCTTTGGTTTTAAATATTATTTATCATCTAACACATTTTTTAAAACAAAAATGTAATAAAGTCAAAGAATAATATAATAATATTATCTCTATTATTTATTATTTATTGACTCAATCCATTTTTAATCCGTTCAAATTCAAACAAACTCACTCGATCATTTAAAAGTGAAATTAATAGTATGAAATATTTACTATATTTAATTTGTTTTACCAATGGAAAAGAAGTGGTGGCAAAGGAGAAAGTGGAAGAAATAGATGAAGAAAAGAATTAAAAAAAAGATAATTGAAGGAGATATATTGGAGTATTACAAATCATTTTACATCACTGTTCATGTTGAGACAAAGGGTGAAAATAATTTAGTTACTTTGATCATAGAATATGAAAAGAAAAATGCTCATGTGCCAGATCCACACACATTCATGGAATTACTCCTGAATGTAACCAAAGATATTGAGAATTACCACATCAAGTAATACATAAATATTATACACAAGGACTCTTTGAAAATGTCGACAAGTATATGTCGAATTCTTTAAAATAATATATTTTGAAGAAATCGATATGAATACGATAACATTTTTGAATAGTTGAAACAATGTATACCAAATGCTTGGATTTAAGCTATTGTCTCAAAGTCTTGTAATAATATGTGTTGTTATTAGCGGGTGTGCTTTAAAATGTCTTGTCACGACCCAAAACGAGCCGTGAGTGGCACCCACACTTACCCTCCTATGTGAACGAACTAACCAATCTAAACCCCAACATTTCAACCATAATAAACAGAATATAATGCGGAAAGCTTAAAACTCGTTAATGAAATCAATAAATAACTTCTAAAATTTAATACTTATTATTTCTAAAATCTGGAAGTCATCACCACAAGAACATTCTATCCTTAAATTACTAATCTAAGAGTATCTAGGAAGCTAAAATAAGTAAACAAATGGTCCATGTATGAACTTCAAGGACATCAAGACATGAATGAGAGAGAATCAAGTCCGAGCTAGGAACAATAGCTCACCCTGAAATCTGACGTATGAAGACTGGCTAGAGTTGAGGACGAGTTGAAGACGCTGGCACGTTTGCTGCACTCCACAAATAACAAAGAAGAAAATTACACGTAGGGGTCAGTACAAGGCAGAAGTACTGAGTAGGTATCATCGGCCAACTCAAAATAGAAAGCAATATATATCAGATAATAACATAAAATTGACTACCATACTAAACTGTTGATAACAACAAGTACCATAACCTTTTGACACAACCCAAGCACATCTATGAGGACTCAAGCCTCCACACCATACTCGTTTGGGCAAATAGGTTCTTTAAATTTGAGTATATTAACATAATTCAAGATTCATTCTCTTTATCATCCTGGTATCGGAAGGTGACACTCCGATCCCCTAAAGATTCATTCTCTTTAATATCCTGGTGTCGGAACGTGACACTCCGATTCCCTACTACTACGTGTCGGTTCGTGACACCCGATCCCTTAATTCCTGGTGTCGGTACGTGACACTCCGATCCCCTAATTCTACGTGTCGGTACGTGACACCCGATCCCCTAATCTCATTTTTTATATTCATCAAGCCTTCTTTTATACCAAGGCATCATCATTAACAAAGTGGATTTAAGGTTTAAGATTCATAGCCTCATCTTTCCAATCCATTACAATTACATAATCACATCATGCAAGCACACAATTAAGCATATAGAAGACTTTACAATACTACCCAATACATATCATTCGCTATTAAGGGTTTACTAGCATAAACCATAACCTACCTCCACCGAAGGATCGTGATCAAGCAAGCTATCCCCCAAAACCTTTGCTTTCCTCTGCGTTCTTCTCTTTCCCTCGCTCGTTTCTCTCTTCTTTCTTTTTAATTTTCTCCTCTTTCCAATTCCCTTTGTTTTACCCTAATTACCATATAATTAAGTATAAAAGATGATAAAAGTAACCCACTATTTATTTCAAGGTTATCTCCTTTAACCTCCAAGTAAATAAGTTATTAAACTTATCCCCTAATTCCATACAGTTTGTCATAAATAGTCCAAAACGCCCCTTAAAAACTTTTAACAGAAATCCGACCCAGTCAGGGTTACGCAGCTCGTGACGGCCCGTCGTGCCTGCAACGGTCCGTCCTGCTGTTTCCGTCACAAAGTTCAGAGATTCGACTTCCTTAAAGAGTTTGTGACGGTCCGTCGTGCAAACAACGGTCCGTCCTGCCATTCCATCGTGAAGTTCAGAGAGTCGATCTCAGTACCCAAATTTCCAAGGTCTAAGTGTTTTGGAACGAGACCCCCTCGATGGTCCGTCGTACCCATGACGGTCCGTCGTGGGATCCGTTGACCCAGACAGCTATTACCAAAAATAAACTCTACTACTCGAACGACTAAACAGGTCGTTACAATAGATACCAATTTACCCATCGTTCGTCCTCGAACGATCACAAGAAGGAAAATAAGAACGAAAAAGAGTACCTGAATCTGTAAAAAGGTGTGGATATCTCTCTTGCATATCAGCCTCCTTCTCCCAAGTGGACTCTTCAACTGGCCAATTCTTCCATTGAACCTTGATGGATGCAATCTCCCTTGATCTCAACTTGCGCACTTCTCTATCTAAAATGGCAACAGGCTCCTCCTCATAAGACAAATTCTCATCAAGAAGAACAGAATCCCAACGAATGATGTAGTTTCCAACCCCATGGTATCTTTTCAGCATAGACACATGAAATACCGGGTGCACTCCTGAGAGTCCTTAGGGCAAGGCTAATTCATAAGCTACCTCCCCCACGCGCTTCAGAACTTCAAATGGACCAATGTACCTCGGACTAAGCTTACCCCGCTTACTGAACCGCATCACCTCTTTCATGGGTGAAACCTTCATCAAGACTTGT